GTGTAGAAGACTAAAATCGATTTAATAAGCCCTTGAAACCACTAAATTCTCATTCATCATGGGGGCTCCGCCCCCTCGACAACCTCTCTAAGACTCTGAGCGAATCCCGACCACGCCTACTTTCGCTCTCGTTGGGGTCGCCGGCCCCCACTCTGATGAGGACATTGGGCCCCACTTCTGGAAAATCCTGGAGCCATCCTTGATCGTTTCTCCTTTCTCTCTCTCTTCGATAACGAAGCTTAACCTCTTGACCTATGCTGTATTCACTGTCGACTTCATGGCCCAACTTGTTTCTTGGAAACCACCCAGTCTTCTTATCACTAAGTCGCATTCCCTTTACCCAGGCTAAAAAAAAAAAAAAAAAAAAAAAAAAAAGTGCAATTAAAAACTATTAATTTTCTGTAATTTTACATCTATTTATTTGCGAACTGTCTCATAAGAATAGCCCTGTACTCTAAAGCACAAGAATGTTAGGCCTTCAAAACTGACATAAAATTGTGATTCGAGGGGAATGTAATATGTTTACTTTCGTCACGGGCGATCTGCATTTCTAGAATCTCTACGATGTCGTCGATTTCCAGATGAAGCTCGCCTTTTCTGTCAGTGATGAAGGATTCAGTTACAATGTGGGTTGGTCGTCCTGCAAGAAGGGTGATCGGAATGAGATAGGACAATAGAAAAACTACATGCCATCAAAAGAGGAACTACATAACATTTAGATAAATATTATTAAACATTATACTGTGTCCAAACTAAAATAAATTTGACTTACTGTAGTCATCAAATATCCCAGATTCACCTGTAGCCACAACAAGTGCCGATTTCCATTCCAATAAATCCTTCCTAAGATAAAAAAAAAAAATCAATATTAAAACAAATCTCTGAATTTCTGTTATATCTGGCCTATGTCTTGCTGCTGTTGATGATAATTTGTTTGCATACTGTAACCTGGTAAAAAAGTATAATTATTATTGTAGTTGGTGAATAGGCACCGGACTTTTTCATATTCATTCTATTTCACTCGATACGCTTCTCACCCACCATGGCATTGACGAGTCACTAATAATAATAATAATAATAATAATAATAATAATAATTTTTTGCAGCATTTGCAAATGGAGAATGAATTTCCTTATTTGTATTTACGGGAAAGACGATAAAGTTATCTATCAAACACACACTGAAATATATCTCATTAAATATATATTGTGCTTGATTCAAACAACCAATTTACTCATACAAAGATGTCTTATACATCATTTTCAAAATAACTATATGAGTGAACAAGAGTTCAACAAGAAAAAAACTTAATACAAATTTGGCATAGGCCTACCACCTTATCCATATTCAGTATATCAAAACAAAATAACATAATAAATCATTAAGGAATATAAAATACATATCAAACAGTATATACATAGTCTCTTATACACATCTAGATGTGTATAAGAGACATTATATATACTGACGTATATTAATGTGTTGGTTTATTCATTATGCTTATTCTTTTACTGTTTAAACACCGCTTCATGTTTCTACTGTTACCGTATTTAATTATATTATTATATTATTATTATTAAATTATCATTAGCTAGTTCACTAATCATTGTTGTGAAGGCTTAGGTCTGGATGCCGAAGCAAACATTTTGCAGGTTGAGACATGGCATGAAATTTGAGATTCAAAAATCGATTATAATAAGTCCTTTGAAATCCCATTTTATTATTGTCGACAGAAACTACAGGGCTTGTCACCTCATCTCCTACTGGGACCTTTGGAGACCCTAGCTGAAGCAAAATCACGCTAGCTTAGCTCTGTCTCTTATACACATCTAGATGTGTATAAGAGACAGAACAACTTCAGCTCAGATCACTTGAGTTAAAAAAAGTATATAATATATATATATATATATATATATTATTACTTATATATATATATATTATTACTTATATACTTATATACGTTTGTAGTTGATTTAATTTCATGCTTACATTGATCGATCAGAGTTCAGACCGATGACGTATTCATATTGCTGGTATTTGATACCGTCCTTTTCATAGATCCACAGTTTGAACAAATGTTCTCTCTCAGGCATCCAGCTCTCACGAGATTTTGCATCTATGATAGCCACATCAGCATAGTTTCGATCATAACAGCTACAGAACCTGTCTCCATTTTATTATAAATATATAATTTTATCAATTAGACAAAATAATATTATATATTTGAAATTAAATATTATATGGTTTTATGATTTACGTGCGAAAATCATGTATTACGACTTACGTTTTTGAATTTTCGACAGTTTCGTCTGAGGAAGACGTCAAAATAATGGCAGATTTAGACACATATAGGTTGATTTGAGTCGAACGATATCGCTTTTGAAATGGCACATGATCTCTTTTTCGTTTAGTATACAATGTCACTTGATCCTGTTTCTTTATCCAGTCATCCTGAATATTTGATAATTTCTATATTTTTCAAAAGAGTTCGATGAGTTAAGAACAATTTCAAAATCACTTTTGGTTAACATAGAAAAACAATTGATAAAAGGACAAAAATGTTAGAAACTCCCTTGGCCAACATTTTTAATGGTGCTGATACCATTCTTAGTAGAGTTGAATAGCTTGGTGGTTAAGATAATTGTCTTCCAATCACAGGGTCTTAAGTTCAATTCCTGTCAGTTTTGTAGTATTTTTTTTAGTATTTTTTTTTTATCACTCCACTCCCTAAACTTCACATTTAGACTTAGTTTTGGTAAAGCATCGTGTGTGTGTGTGTGTGTGTGTGTGTGGGTGTGTGGGTGTGTGTGTGTGTGTGTGTGTGTGGGTGTGTGTTTGGGTGTACGGTAAGAATGGCCCTGGAAAAAATGGCCCCGGAAAAAATGGCCCCGGA